AACAGTGAACCACCACAACAGTGAACCACCACAACAGTGAACCACCACAACAGTGAACCACCACAACAGTGAACCACCACAAGAGTGAACCACCACAACAGTGAACCACCACAACAGTGAACCACCACAACAGTGAACCACCACAATCACACTCCGGCACCACCTATTACAATTTATATATATTTTCCCATATTTCTTTGTCCAAAGATTTCAAACAAACATAAACATGGCCTTTTCCTTTATTTCGCCCAGAATCACAATTCTTAATTTCCCTGCACAATTTTTTTTTTATTTATTACTTCAGGAAAAAAGACAATCACTAAAAAAAGAAACCTAGAGAGAATAGCACGTCTTCCACCCTCACCCCCCACCTCCCGAAAAAAAAGTCTCTGACTTTTGATTAAAACAACCTTTTCAAGACTTTTTTCCTCTCCAGCATAATGGTCTAGTTGAGGCATTGTGTAGATGAGTGTGTATAAGGCTTTGATCCGTCCAAGACCCGCCAGGTTAGGAGACCTTTCTTTTATCGTGTGCTTGTAAGCAGTGTTGTAGTGTCGCTCCGTCATCTCCTCTACACCTGGTCCAGTGTGTGTGTGTGTGTGTGTGTGTGTGTGTGTGTGTGTGTGTGTGTGTGTGTGTGTGTGTGTGTGTGTGTGTGTGTGTGTGTGTGTGTGTGTGTGTCATGTTGTTGTTTAAGATTCAACTATTCGGAATAACAAAAGTTCCAAGCAGCACGGGCTATGGTAAGCTCGTAGTCGACTTACCTGATACACGAACGGGGCAAGTACCACGGGGTATGGTGAGCCCGTAGTGGACTTACCTGGCGCAGGAGCGGGGCTGTAACTTGCCCTCTGTCACGTTGGGATGCATTTTATAGAGTTCCCAGCTATATTATATATATCCCAGATGTCTCTGGACATCCAATCCAGAGACTGGTATATTATCAACTGTTAAAGAGCGCAGTTTGATCAATCCCAAAAATGTAATATCTTTTCAGCGTTGAAGGAAATTATCAGATGTTTTAATTCAACAGCAAAACACGATAACATGTGACAGTGTTTGTTATTTTAAGCTTCAGCTTAACTTACAACAGCCAGCCAGCTCTCTGAAACGGGAAAATATCTGTTGCTTTATTTCGTAGGGAGAAAATATTTTTATAATGGAAGGATTATGGAACTTGGTGAGGCGCCACTCTTTTGAATATTATGCATTCTGCTGTGTTAGTGTGGTGCTGTCTGTGTGTGTGTTAGTGTGGTGTTGTCTGTGTGTGTGTGTGGTGCTGTCTGTGTGTGTCTGTGTGGTGTTGTCTGTGTGTGTGTGTGGTGCTGTCTGTGTGTGTCTGTGTGGTGTTGTCTGTGTGTGTGTGTGGTGTTGTCTGTGTGTGTGTTAGTGTGGTGCTGTCTGTGTGTGTGTGTGTGGTGTTGTCTGTGTGTGTGTTAGTGTGGTGTTGTCTGTGTGTGTGTGGTGTTGTCTGTGTGTGTGTTAGTGTGGTGCTGTCTGTGTGTTAGTGTGGTGTTGTCTGTGTGTGTGTGTGGTGTTGTCTGTGTGTGTGTTAGTGTGGTGTTGTCTGTGTGTGTGTGGTGTTGTCTGTGTGTGTGTGGTGTTGTCTGTGTGTGTGTTAGTGTGGTGCTGTCTGTGAGTTAGTGTGGTGTTGTCTGTGTGTGTGTTAGTGTGGTGTTGTCTGTGTGTGTGTGTGGTGTTGTCTGTGTGTTGCAATAGTGTAGATTTGAGAGGCGGGATCCGAAAGCCAAAGCTCAACCCCCGTAACAACAACTACGTGAGTACACCTCCACACAAAACCATCTCAGGACAACTATGATTTCCTCATGAATAAACCTGGTATTGTAGGTCCACACGAGGGAGGAATTTCTGTGGACTCTAGTACTGGTCTACTGCGGGATGTAAATATTCATTATTTAGTCTAAAGACTGTCAAAGGGACACAGGATGGCATCACCACGTTCGCCATCCATTGATTGGTTGAGGTGATGGTCTGGACGGACTGGACAAAGGTCCACACATTGCTCGATCGACTGACATCGGATTTTTCATATTTTCTCCCTGTGTTGTTTTGTCTATGTTGACGCTGTAAATAAGAAGTCTTGTGTAATCATTTATACATCTACTCTGAGGTTCTGGCCTCTGGTTCCTAGCAAGATCACTCAAATCTCCTGTTGCTTAACGTTAGGAAGAAAGCAGGAGCAGACAACACAACGTCTCAGACTCTTCTATCGCTGCTGCTGCTGCTGCTCGTCGATGGAGGGGTAGCAAGTGAGTTGTTCTGCTTCCTGACTCACCTACGGTACTTATCTGGTCCCACCATGATACTCCAGATTACGGAACGTTTCCGTGGGGGGACCAGACGTTCACACGTAGCCATATACTGGAGAAAATGGTTGACACAACCGATGCAGCCCCGGTCGATATTCGTGCTGATGGAGTCGGAGCTCAGCTTCTATACACCAGTAAAGAGGCACTAGAAAATCTATTTCTGCAGCGCTGCAGTCCTGCTGGCCCCCACCACCACATCGCCACCTGGCGGAGAGGACCATCTTGGCTTAGAACTAACTGCATGGGGGAAGCCCTCAGGCTCATAAACCTCATGTACAGCGCCCCTGGACTGGTGTTGTGTCCAGTACCGCCCACGGGATGAGTATGTGGTCCACTACCGCCCACAGGATGCGTATGTGGTCCACTACCGCCCACAGGATGAGTATGTGGTCCACTACCGCCCACAGGATGCGTATGTGGTCCACTACCGCCCACAGGATGAGTATGTGGTCCACTACCGCCCACAGGATGAGTATGTGGTCCACTACCGCCCACAGGATGAGTATGTGGTCCACTACCGTACACAGGTTTGGGTATTGGGTCCACTACCGCCCACCGGATGGGTATAAATTGCATAATAAATGAACTAAAAACTAATGCCACACCTCATTTCTAAGATGCCTTCATCACTTCAGCTGCACGTGATCCTCACACCACGTTAACAGTCGAGGGGGAAGGGAACTATCAAGGGGAAAGCGCCAAGCCATTACCCCTATATAGCACTGGTAAGGGGTCAGGAAAAGGATTTGGGATGGGACGGTGGGAAAGGAATGGTGCCTACCGTCCAGCCCAAGTGGATGGGTTACAGCTGAGGGGATGAATGAATAAGTTGTCTAAGATATAATTTATTGACTTTTATACATAACATAAAAATTTGCTGGACATAATTTTAGTGATGTTAAATTACTTCACAAAGCTTCTTCAAGTTCATATAAATGAAATGAACACCGTTGAACATTTTTTCACAGCTTTAAAGCTTTTAGACAACGAGGTTTTATTAACATGTAATGAAGAGTAACGAGTAAAACATTCATCTCTACAACGGGTAACAGCAGCAAGAGTTCCTTTCCATCTGCTGCATTGTAATACAAATCTGGAAAAGCTATAGGATATGATCGTATGGTAACGTATATAAGATATACTTACGATCCACAGCTATTAACGCCATCACAAACTGCTTGGTATGCTGAAACATACATCGTGGCTTGGTCCTCGCTCTTGGGTTTGGAATGTATAAGTTCTGAGTTGTACAGAGTGCATCTGATTACCACTGAATCCGCTGTGATATATACATTTTATATATATAATATAATATAATATATATATATATATATATATATATATATATATATATATATATAATATAATATAAATATATATATATATATATATATATATATATATATATATATATATATATATATATATATATATATATATATATATATATATATATATATATATATATATATATATATATATATATATATATATATATATATATATATATATATATATATATATGAGCAGTAGAAGAGCACCACAAGAAGGACTCGACCCTTCCTGTCCCACCGTCCAATGGGAAAGGAAACGTCTTTGTCATTTGGGCACATCAGTATCCAGCAACTGTGTGGACTGCACTAAAAATATTTTGCCTCATGGAGGGTAAAACACCAGAAATGAATTTGCCACATACCCCACCTCCCTTTCCGAAGAAAAAAAACGTACACACACACACACACACACACACACACACACACACACACACACACACACGGGACTGGGTGGCCGAGTGCACAGCGCTCTAGACTCGTGAACCTAGGGGCCGGGGTTCGATCCCCGCACCCGACGGAGACAGATGGGCAGAGTTGCCTTAACAGGGGGGGGGGGCAAGGAGGGGGATGGATAATTTGAGCAAAGGGAGCGAAGCTTCCTCGCTCCGAACGGCAGTCCTTTCAGAATGACTCGATATCCATAAAGATGGATATAACGACTTCGCTCGTAAAGGAACCGTGATCAAGCGAGACTCGCCACATCCCGTCCCCGCGGCCCGGTCCTCGACAAGGCCTCCTTTTTGTTACACACCCTGCAGAAAGCAGCCCGTAGCAGCTGTCTAACTCCCAGGTACCTATTTACTGCTAGGCGAACAGGAACATCAGAGTGAAACTATTCATTTGTTTCCGCCCCCATCGGGGATCGAACCCGGAACCTCAGGATTACGAATCCGAAGCGCTGTCCACTCAGCTTTCAGGCCCATTGGATTAATTTAGTCGATTTATACAACCTGACCCTCTCATCCTATCAGTCGACCTTATGAATGAGTGCACACACACACACACACACACACACACACACACACACACACACACACACACACACACACTGATAGAGATAGAGAGATAGAGAGATAGAGAGAAAGAGAGATAGAGAGAAAGAGAGATAGAGAGAAACAACGATGCCTCGTATGGTCAATAACTCTTAGAGATCAGAACACTGAGACACCAGTTAACAATGGTATCCAGCATTAGCTAGCTTTCCTATCAAAGGTTTGTACAAGAATCTCCCTATGGTGGTAAGATGTGGAACCTGTGCCTTACCATAATAGAAAACTGCACTACATGTTGTTCCAATATATATATATATATATATATATATATATATATATATATATATATATATATATATATATATAGATACATACAGTGTTTCCAGAGGTCATTATATCACACAGAATAACGCTACACGATTAGCCCGATTGATCGCACTAGATGGGCACATGGGTCAGGGATCTGATTGACACATACAGACAAATATACAGAGGATACTCTGTTGAAATGTGACGCTCAATGCCCTTCATGTAGCGAGGTTCATCATATGAAGTGCTGAGTGGATTAGTTTTATATATATACATGTAATATTGATGGTGTTAGGAGAATAGGTATGTATGTAGGGTACATGTGAGGGCAGGTGTGTGTATGCAGGGCACGTGAGGGCAGGTGTGTGTATGCAGGGGCACGTGAGGGCACGTGTATGTTGGGGGCATGTGAGGACAGGTGTATGTTGGGGGCACGTGAGGGCAGGTGTATATTTAGGGACACTTGACAGCAGGTGTGTGTGTATGTGTGGGCACCCCCTTTGACAGATGTCACACTAGGTGATCCTGGTTGCCAGACAATTTACTAGAAAACAAAAACAATCTGACGTACCTGTTACGTCTTTGAGGGTTTTGCTACGTTTAACTGGTGCGTCTTCGAGAACTTAATTGCAGTTCTTGTCCACAATGATTTCATTAACCATAACTATATTATACATGCTATTATCTGCCATACACATATTATTAGACGCCATAATTTGAATTACTGTACATGGGACGAGTACCATGGAAGAGAGACCATATAATTGCTTCCATTGAGGTAGAATTCCAAAATGTATTAACTCGTACAGTCTAAGGGGTTGGGCAGCATGCCTTCACTCCAACCTCATACCCTAGCTCTTTGTTCTCATATCACGTCCAAGTGACAGTCATACCTTTCCTTATTATGAGGAAAAAGCCCTATCAGATGGGCAAAGAACTCCAGCACCATTTCCCTCACATGATGGGAAAAGCTGAACCAATTTTCCCAATTAGTTATACCAGTAGAAACGTTTCAAGACTTGTCCTGTCATCAAATTATGAGGCGCATCGCTGTCTTGCACAGATTAATAGCGTCAAGATCGTCTTTTGCAAACATCTAAAGCTTTGCAGTTGTCTGTTTCACCGTAGAACATTTTCAAGTCGCTCTTGATGAGTGACCAAGTTGCAACATCGGAATATTACGCAGCTCTAGAGCCACAGAAATGTTTCTCGGTTTCTCGTGTGACGGAAGAGCTTCAACACTAATGTCTTGCGTACCTAGAGAGCTCCAACGCTTGTACTTTACAAGCACCAACACTTTTCCTTAAGTTGAGTTTTAGTACTTATCTCACACACAGCTAACGTGTCCCAACATTTGTCTAACACACATGTCTTAATACCCAGGAAGCGTGTCTTAGCACCTGTAACACACATGAGAAGACTTATCACCCGTCCCTCACACAGGTAGAGAGATCTACCACCAGTCCCTCACACACGTAGAGAGAGATCTACCACCCGTCCCTCACACAGGTAGAGAGAGATCTACCACCAGTCCCTCACACAGGTAGAGAGATCAACCACCAGTCCCTCACCCAGGTAGAGAGAGATCTATCACCCGTCCCTCACACAGGTAGAGAGAGATCTACAACCAGTCCCTCACACAGGTAGAGAAATCTACCACCAGTCCCTCACCCAGGTAGAGAGAGATCTATCACCCGTCCCTCACACAGGTAGAGAGAGATCTATCACCAGTCCCTCACACAGGTAGAGAGATCTACCACCAGTCCCTCACACAGGTAGAGAGATATCTACCACCAGTCCCTCACACAGGTAGAGAGAGATCTACCACCCGTCCCTCACACAGCAATAGAGTAGTCGAGCATCCTGCCCTTGAACTTGGCGTCACTGTAGCGTCGAGGCGGCGGAAGAATGTCTCTGTCGCACTCTGCTTCACTCGCCTCCGGGGGCTCTTTGCTGGGGCCTCTTGGGTTGGGGCGCCCAGAGCCTTGGGCGCCCCCGGGGTACGACGGAGGCGGCGCAGCAGAAGGCGCCGTCGGTGGGGCCGCCGCCGCTGCCGCTGGGGTGGCCTCGCTCTGGGCCATCACACGAGACCTGCGGAGGAGGCAGGGGCGTGAACCTGGGTCCTCACCACCCCAGGGACGAGTCAATATAACTGGACATGTCAGGTGACTAAAGTTCTACTGTACAGGTGGAGCAGAATAAGGCTGCACAGAATGCCAATTGGTACATTTCCTAACGATATTCAGCGAGTCACAACAGCCGCACCCACGCGTGTACTCACTCACATTTATTCAAGCCATTTTCATTTACTCATGAAACTTGATGCATAGATTCAGATTCAGCCTTGTTTTGAAGCATAACAATTTCACAGTTGCAGGCGATGAGTCACAACGTGGCTGAAGTATGTTGACCAGACCACACACTAGAAAGTGAAGGGACGACGACGTTTCGGTCCGTCATGGACAATTCTCAAGTTGATTGTTTCAAGTCGAATACAATTGACTTCAGAATGGTCCAGGACGGACTGAAACGTCGTCGTCCCTTCACCTTCTGTGTGGTCTGGTCAACAAATTTCACAGTTAAATAGTGTCTTGACGCTGTGGGTTGTGATGGTGGGTACAGGAATGGTACAGTATGTGGTACAAGAGTGTCTCTGGAGTCAGATTATTTATTTATTTATTTATTTAAATAGTAAAGCGAGTTAATATGTAACTTTAAATGCCTTTCCAAAACAATTTACCAAAATGATTTTTGTACAAATAATTTCAGAAGTTCAAAATATTTAAAGCATTAAATATTTGGAATTTAGAAGGAAATATAAAAAGTTTGAAGTTTATGTGTAGAAAAAATCGTAAAAAGCGGATAAAAACTAACCTTAATAATAGGATTTTAAGCCCCCTAAAAAGTTTTGGAAGATTTAAATTTTCCCGGCAAAAAATGCACCGCCGAAACGCCTCAATAATCCTCTTCCCAATTTAAACTGTGACCGAGCTTTCCAATGACTTGTATTTAATTAATATGACAATGAATTATGTTTTCGTGTCATTAAAAAAAATAAAAAATTCGATCTCTCCAGTATTTTGAGTACTACCATAATAATTCGTAAACAAAACAAAAATGGCTACCAAATTTCTTTCCAATAAAGCTTTCAATGCGGCCCAAAAATACCAAGCCTTTTTGTGCTATGTAAATCAAAGACTTGCCCAATATGTTGGTGTTGAAAGGCTGACCTCCAGACAGAGGTTTTAACTCCCTTTACTGCCTACTCCTGCCTATCTGTACTTACCTACTAACACGAACTACGAGGGATGAGTGAGATCCAAGCTCTGCATACCCGCCTCCTGGCCTTCTATACTTAGGCTCCGTCATCACCCCTCGCTCCTACCTAGGTGCACTAGTCGTGTATACGAACATATAGTTGACGGTAGACATTCTATCACTTGCTTCTTCCTCACATTCGCCTCTCTGGTTTCCCAAGCTTACGTCTCTAGTTTGGGTTCCAGATATTGGCTACATTGTGCAAGTCACACAAGCCGAGTACCCAAATGAGCCACAGGGACATTAGAAAGAATTGTTTCAGTGTCAGTAGTTAACAAATGGAATGCATTAGGAAGCAATGTGGTGGAGGCAGACTCCATACACAGTTTCAAATGTAGATATGATAGAGTCCAACATGTTCAGGAACCTGTACACCAGTTGATTGACGGTTGAAAGGCGGGACCAGAGAGCTAAAGCTCAATCCCCGCAAGGTCTAGGTGAGAAGACCCGTGAATGACGCACGAGTTTGGACCTTGAGTCAAGGAGAAGCATCAAGGGGGAGGAGAAGTCCCTCCAGATAAGAGTGTCGACAGACAAGCTACTGATGACCCGACAAGGCACGCACACTCTGCCCAGAGACTGTCTCTTCCCCCTCCCCTTTTCCCAGAACACCCATCCCATCTCCCCTCTCCCCCCTCCCACACTCCATCTCTCCCACCGCCCTTTTAAACACCCTTCACGCTTCCTATTATAAAACACCCCCCCCCACACACACAAAAACACTAAAAAACTAGCCCTGTTTTTTCCACAGCCTCGCCGCAGACATTCCAAGAGCAACAGTGTCATTACAAAGTGTCTCAAGTTGGGAAGAAAAGTTGACAATACTGACATGAAGTAAGTTAAGCCAACACTATAACGACCAGAACTGAAAATATGCGACTTATAATACATATACATACATATATGCATTATATATATGTATATTATATATATAAATATATATATTATATATATATAAATATATATATTATATATAAATATATATATTATATATATATAAATATATATATTATATATATATAAATATATATATTATATATATATAAATATATATATTATATATATATAAATATATATATTATATATATATAAATATATATATTATATATATATAAATATATATATTATATATATATAAATATATATATTATATATATATAAATATATATATTATATATATATAAATATATATATTATATATATATAAATATATATATATATATATATAGTAGTAGTAGGCATCCATCAGTCTCAAGAGACTATGGAATTGCGCTCTGGTTGTCGGTCAGGAGTGGCCCCACCAGGGCGCAAAGCCAGGGTAGGTTGATTCGGGGGAGAAGCTGTTACCCAGGCAGCAGGTCCCCCGAATATATATATATATATTTATATATATAAATATATATATTATATATATAAATATATATATTATATATATAAATATATATATTATATATATAAATATATATATTATATATATAAATATATATATTATATATATAAATATATATATTATATATATAAATATATATATTATATATATAAATATATATATTATATATAATATATATATTATATATAATATATATATTATATATAATATATATATTATATAAATATATATAAATATATATATATTTATATATATATGTATAAGCTTGAATGGTCCCCATGCCAATCATGATCATGGCGTGGTTTATTAGTCTCACTACTACCAACATTTTTAAAAATTAGTGACTATGAGAGAGGGATAATTTAGACACAGAAGCTTAATCACACCGGCTATCCACCCATCGACCGGGTCAAGCATCCAGAAAGGTAAGCATTCCAAAACAAACCCCCTATTCTGGTTAAAATTGCTACCAAAAGCCGAACTAGTGGATAGAACTCCAATAAACAAACTAGTATGACGTCACATGTCACCGCTGTCTGCGCAGCTCCCCTCTCCCCGGGAGGGGGAAGGGTAAGCCCCAGACCTCTCACACCGGCTATCCACCCATCAGTTCTGAGGCTGGATGTCAAAACACGCGAAAAACCGCCGACCGGAGAGAGGGAGGGTTGCCGGGGAGCCTCCGGGTCTCGTCCAGAAAATGGCGTTTCTTTACATTCAATGCTGGTTTTCTGGGGGAGCCCCGTCGGCTCCCCGGAGCTAACTACCCACAGAAGAAGGTCAAAGGGACGGAACTGGGAGGGGGACACCACGCACACGCCACGGAAGCGAGACAACCGACAGCAAACGCCAACCCAAGGCGTCACAGCCCCGCAAGGGCCCGGGAACAACACGAGACAACGAGCAGCATGGCCACTGTACGAACACCAAAGATCCGTGCTGGAATGACAGCAAGGACACGCCGCCCAGACGGCAGAAAGGGCAGCAAGGGCAGGGAAGCCACGAACACCACGGGTACGGCGAAAGAACACAGGCAGGTTAGCCGGAAGAACCCGGGACACCGTCACCTGCGAACAGGGAAGAACGGAACCGGATCAACTCAAAACGCGCCCCGGACACAGAGGCCGTGGCACGCAAATAACAGCGAAGGGCCGCCACTGAACACACAACACGACACACCCCCAGCCTGACCAACCAAGCACCAACAAACCAAGGACCCCTCTGGAACGCAGCTGCCCCATCCCATGCCAGAAAAGATGGAGACTGCTGCCACCGAACAACCAATACGCTAAAACCGAAAGAGCAGAAAACCCCTGCAGAGGAGCATGAAGCCCAGCGACCCGACCCAAGAGTTGAGAGCAACTGTCAAACTCGCTGGAAGCGAGGGGGGACTCTGGGGTCACATCCATCGGACCCGCGCGCCCCCAGGGGATTCCCAGGGTCCCGAGCGTTTACTATTAGAGGACTCACGCTCAGGTAATCCCAGGCAGGGTACTGCTAACCGGCGCCCAAAGCTACCAAACAACTTTCTAAGAGCTGAACCCCCGGGACGTTTACACTCTCGGGGACTTACCAGGGGGAACCACCAGAAAAATACTCAGAACACAAGGGGCAAGAACGAAGGCAGACCCCCCCCCCCCCATCAGGTAGACAAACAAAAAGAAAACCCCGCAGAGGACAGCGTACCCAAGCCGAACCGAGCCGGCCGCCATGATAGGTGGAGACAAGCTGCACAGTACCCTGCGCCCCACCAGTGCAAAACTGTCCCTTACCCTAAGGCGAACAAGGGAGACAGAACACCCGAGCACACACACACAGCAGCGAAAACCAAGCAGCAAACGGCCTTGCAGGGGCAGAACTTGTGGAAGGTGGCCCCAAGCCCCAAGGGCAGTACTTACAGGGCACCTAGGGAAGGGAACCCTAAGCGCATGCAGCCCGAGTACTGGAGATTCACTCTCGGCTCACGCATCACCTAGAAGACAGACACCACACTCTAGGTACAGTGTTGAAACAACTACTGTAGCCGGAGCACACACCCGGTGCCTATAGCATAAGCCGAAGAACTGATGGGTGGATAGGCGGTGTGAGAGGTCAGGGGCTCCCCCTTCCCCCTCCCGGGGAGGGGGGTAGCTGCGCAGACAGCGGTGTCGTGTGACGTCATACTAGTTTGCTTGTTTTCTGTTGGGAAGTTCTATCCACTAGTTCGGCTTTTGGTAGCAATTTTAACCAGAATAGGGGTTTGTTTTGGAATGCTTACCTTTTTGGATGCTTGACCCGGTCGGTGGTAGACATAGAATGCTTCCAACCACATGGGGGTTTCTATAGGCCATTGCTCCCATTCCCTCTCTGAGGGGGGCCAGGTTCTGGCCGTGGTCCCCGGTAGGCCCTAGAACTCCATACACATGACTGATGCCAAAGTCTGACATTAGCATATCAGCCTTGTAAAGCTCCGGGGAGCCGACGGGGCTCCCCCCCCCCCCTACCCCCCAGAAAAAGTGTTAAAGAATTATATACAGTTCGTATTCATTCAAAATAAATTATGCTTTGAGAAGTATTCTATTTCAGATGAAGGTAATGGTCAGATTCGTGCATATTGAAATTGATGAGTTATGCTCATTAGAATACAAACGACCAGACAATATGTTAAAACAAAAGCAACGACTCTGGCTAGAGTGAGCTCAATGTGAATTAAAAATTGGCGAATAATAGGTAGAGTTAAAACTAATTTTAGCTCCTGGTGGAGTTGTAGTTGTTGTTTAACACGTAAATGAACTGAAGCAAGATGGGTTTGAGTTTAGCCAGCAATGTCTATCTACAAGATCGGACACGTTGAAAGCAATGGTAAGAGGGATTGATGAATATTGTCAAACACACACACACAGTACAGTATTTATGAACGTCTCTACTGACTACTAACATACACCAGTTGCCTAAAATTAACCTTTCTTGCAAAATAAGATTAACTAATAATACTTGGCTCGTCGAAAGACACTAAGGTTTTGGGAGTATACAGGGTATTGAACTTAATATTAACTCCGAGAGAATTCAGATGCTGGAAAAAATGAGTTATTTTCCCTCGGGCCAAACATGCTCCACCTACATTTTAACAAAGAGCCAACATTGTTAACGCTATTTCAATGTTACATCAACGCCCTTTGCCCATATTTGCCCGGGGAGGGGTTATAGGAACTAATATTAAATAGAGTTGAAGAGAGAGAGTTTAACACGTGCAAAGAATTTCAAGATAAAGGCGACCAACAGGAGCAGCTTGACATGTTCTAGCAGGACTCCTAGAGCTACTAGGTGCTAGCGTGATCCCTGGAACCTGCAAGGTCTATGCAGTTACTAGCATTTGAAAGTCTAGCATGATAGATATCTGCAGCTTGTAGGGCCCCTGGAACCATCGAAGCCCATGAAAGAAACAAGACCTATTGGGATACTAGGACCTCATAGCACTCTAGGATCAATGGGACCTGTAATCAATAGCAACCTTAGGAGCAATGAGGGTTCGGAAGATAATATCAATATTGGAAACATTGATCTTATGGAGCTAAGATCCCTAGGCCTTTTTAGCTTACATGATCCCTAGAAGCTGTGGATCCTATGGAACCAACATGATTTTTAGGACCAATGGGGTGGGGTTTGGAATTGGTTTAACTACAAAGATCAGTAGGTACTGTGTACTGAAGAGAGGAAGGAATTTCACAATAGGTGACACTAGTCACAGGGACTTTGCCTAACAATTGAGAGTCCTGAATTCAGCTAGTTTGACCTTCAGAAGGGGTGAGAGCATTGGGGCTTGCATTTTTGCTAGCATTTTCAGGAATACAAGAGCTTAGGGACACGTAGGGACCTAAGCAGGCCAACAATGCAGGAGCACGAGAATGTTGGGACACATGCAAGCCCATGGGCAGGTCAGCGTTGCAGGGACAGGTGTCAGCGTTGCAGGGGCATGAGCAGGGAGGCGAGAGTGATAGAGTACCTGGCTCTGACGCGCCGAGGGAAGGACTTTCTCTCGGTGGTTGGGGAAGGTTCAGGGGAGGTGCTAGACTCGGCGTGGTACAGCAGGTCTGAAATACCATGCACATCCTGGCGTCAGTACTCAATGTGTCGGTAACTACTCGACTCTAGAGCCTTCAACTCTTTAAGACTTTGACTACCACATGTTTAAGAATATTAATATGTAATTATGGTACATAAATGGTCTTGCCAAGTGGGTGGCTTAAAAGGAATACATCCGATTAGAGCATTGATAACTTAATTTTTTTTCACGAATCATACTCTTAGTGAAATGTGGCTCTCGGTTCACTGTTGCTAAGAATCCACTCGAAACATTCTTGACATCAACTCTGTTTGGACAAGTAGAATAAGAGACAAGGGTTATGATCCACGAGTCCTATATTCATCTTGTGAATCCAAATTTGAAGTCAGCGCCATTTAATAGTAATGAGTGAAGGAAGAGAACCTATGAGTGTCTCCTCAGAATGCCTCATAAAACTTGAATCATAACAGAATGCGATGTATATACTCTAGCAAGATTAAAATTTAGAATTTAGTCTGAATTTACACAAAAACATCAACATTTATATAAACTAAACATAAATGAATTCATAACAATATATGTATTTCTTTGATTACAACATTTCTTCCTGAAGGGATATTGTATCTACGTGCCAACACCTACAAGCCTTTTAATGTCAACTGGACATTACACGGTGCAAAGTGCGTCCGAGATTACGCTGTCCAAATGTCATTCACAATCAGAAGATTTCCCCCAATTATTACAGTTAAAATTGTATAGTTGGTCACTGTAACTACCAAATGGGCTTCTTAGTACTGGGTATACTGAACAACAAACCACGAAACCTTGTGATTTCCGAATAACATTGAATTATGAGCAAACAGTATTCGCACCCAAGTTTGCATCGTGAAATATCGACCTAAGAAGTTACCGACGCTGAGCACTTCCGGGGAGCGTGAGGTGCAAAGTCAGGCAAGTGACACAAGGGGGTACTGAAACAAGCTGTAAGGGGGGCGGTGTTGGGGTGACGGGGAACACTTACTGTGGTGAATCCTCTGCTGGAAGGCCGGATTGTTCTCCCTTGAGCCTTCTCTCGTATATACGGCGTCTCTAGTCTCCTTTGGGGCGTCCCTCGTGTATACAGCGTCCCTGGAGTCCTTAGAGCCTTCTCTGGCGTACACGGCATCTCTAGGGTCCTTGTTCCCCGGGCCGCGCGCATACACGGTGTGGTCCCTGATGGAGGGAATGTCGTCTAGCTGGTTGGAGGACTCTGTGCGTGACGACACTCCCCCGTGTTCGGTCTCCGTGTCCGACCCGAGGGTCTCGTAGTCGTCTCCGCTGTCGGCCAGGCCCTGGCTTCTACTACGACTACGACTTCGGCGCTGGCCGCGGCTACGGCTCCCACGCCTCTTCCCCTCCCCGTAACCTTCCATTTTCTAGAGGAGAAAGGAGCAATAAAGATTAACAAAAGGTAAGCTGGAATGAATGAACATGACATGAAAGATGCTCAGTCTGTATCTATAAAATAGGATGTGTTTGTCTGTCCAAAATAGGAGGCTAGACGGTTGGGGCTAGTCTCGCTCAACTTTGCAACTTTAAACAACTGGGGGGGAAAAGTGGTTATGTATCATGGTCTAACCTTGAGTGGCCTAAGTGCCATGCTCTAAGAAATTTCGGTTTCTACAGTAAACATGGCATTTCATGGTCCGAAATATAATCAGAGGTTGTGTTTTTCATAGAATTTTTGTGCATCTTATGCTGTTTATAGGAGAGAAATTACTGAATCCCAATGACTAAAAGCACCAGTATAAAAAGCTATGATTTGTTCAGATCTGAAACCTATCTTTATGGGCAGCACAACCCATAAACATAAGTTACTCAGCCGAGAATCGAACCCGGGTCATTAGGACCACGACCTCAGAGCGCTGTTCACTTAGCCGCGAGGCCTTCCTCGGGGGAGGAGGGGGAAATAGGTGAGAAAGGGCAGGGAAAGAGGTGGTTGAGGAAGAAGAGGGAAGATGAGGGAGACAAACTCCCCCTTCCTTCCTTCCCATCTCTGTCTTAGAAAATGTAATACATGAAATTACGCGGGTAAACGGCGGGAGTAAACATAAAAACGCCACGGGGAAAACATCCGCGATTTAATTCAGCCAGAAAATGTATTATTGACACCGCACACAGGAAATTAGATCATCTTTCAGCTTACCATGAATTATAGGCATCATAATACCATCATAATCACCCACAAAATTGAATTCATCATGTTAATTCCAAAATGACTACGAGAACAATGCTATTCAGTTCAAAAGACTTAAGGAATTAGATTACATTCCCCCTGATGAGTTACTTTCCAGCACAGTAATAGTCAATTACTCTGGCGCTGTTCTCCCCCCTCCTTGGACCAACACGTGCCTGGTCAAGAGGTTGGAAATTGGCTGCGAGTTCCTGCTAATTTAATTTTATGCATAATTTTCTTGACAATTAACTAAAAAGATTAAAAAAAACATAATTTAACTGAATGATCCGTTTCACAAAGGTTATCAGTGTTTTAAAAAATTAATTTCGATATTTAATGTTTATATATTCAATTTTTAGCTATTAAAACTTTATATTAAAGGTGATAGTGCACTTAAGTTTTATTTCGGCAATATTGTTACTATAATCCCGGAAGAAAATAATATTTTCCTACTAATTTATATCTAAATCTTTAAAAAGGAAAATGTTTGTCCAGGGTTAAGGGTGCGACGCCTGGGGCTAGTCTCGCTCAACTCTTCTGGATGACAAATGGGTGGTACGGTACTTTCATAGGCAGGTCAGGGTCGGCCTCACTGCATAACCTTAAAGACGTTTCGCCTTTTATTAATAACTCTAGGAGTCGCAATACGCTTTTCAATGGTTCATAACATCCCACCACACACAACGTATCTACATTATTTGTTTTTATAAGTTACTACAATGTTATAACGTGGAATTAAAGTAACAATATTAAAGTAACACTGTGGCTATGCAGTGTCTTGTTTCATGCAGATCGGCGTTCAATCCCCGACCGTCCAAGTGGTTGGGCACCATTCCTTCTCCCTGTCCTAGCCTGAATCTTGATCCTGACCCCTTCCCAGTGTTATATAATCGTAACGAGTTTGTGCTTTTCCCTGACAATTCTCTCCCTCTGAGAGAGGAGGGATTAGAGAGGGGGGGGGGGCGAGGGATGGGAATGAGAGAAGATGGAGACACAGACCCGGGCACTGCCGGGTTCCTCATCTAGTAGTTTATAATAAAATGCTTAGCATTTTAAGAAAAGGCTACATATATGCTAGTGTGTTGTATGTAGTATAATTTCACTAATCCAAGCGTGTAGGGTTAATATAGCTAATGGTTCACTAAGGAATTCCTAATGCATTTAAATCCTATAAATCTGTCAGAGACGCTTTAGTTTAATGCTCATGTTAGGGCTTCTAAGTTTGGGGTTAGGGTCAGTAGGAGAGAGGCAAGGGGGGGGGTCAGAAGGGGGCAAGGGGGGCCAGTAGGGGAGGGGAGGGCAAGGGCTCCCCTCAGGGACTCCGAGTTAATAAGGAGAAAAGGTGACTGTCCGGCGGGCACTAATTAAAAATCCCGGCCGCCACTCATACCACCCTTGGCCCGGGGCCCCTCAGTGTGGCCCTGGGGCCCTCACTGTGCCCCCGGGGCCCTCACTGTGGCCCTGGGGCCCTCACTGTGGCCCTGGGGCCCTCACTGTGGCCGTGTGGCCCTCAGTGTAGCCATGGGGCCCTCAGTGTGGCCCTGTTACCCTCAGTGTAGCCATGGGGCTCTCAGTGTGGCCCTGTTACCCTCAGTATAGCCATGGGGCCCTCAGTGTGGCACTGGGGCCCTCAGTGTGGCCCTCAGTGTGGCCCTGGGACCCTCAGTGTGGCCCTGGGGGCCCTCAGTGTGGCCCCGGGGTCCTCAGTGTGGCTTTAGGACCCTCAATGTGGCCCTGGGACCCTCAGTGTGGCCCTGGGACCCTCAGTGTGGCCCTGGGGGCCCTCAGTGTGGCCCTGGGGGCCCTCAGTGTGTCCCGGGGGCGGCCTCAGTATGGCCCACTCCCCTCAGTGTGGCCAGTTAATCGAGGGGTGAACTGTGGTTAATGATACAGATCAATGTCCAATTTCGCCTTTATAAGCAATCATTCTGTACACACAATATTTATACTCTCAATCAAACTTGAGTGACTTTATAAGGTTAAAATCCGACTCCAAGAACTATTTCCGGGCACTGAGACTATAGTGGGAAGGTGGTGAGGAGTTCAGCACGTCTCGCATTAGTCGCTCACGCCGGTCTTAATGAAGTCAGCGAGGCAGCTCTCAAGTGCTCCTGCCTCGCCCGCCTCGCCATTCTAAACATGAAAATAATGAATCTCTTTAGAGCTATTTTTTTCTCCTATTTTGCATGAATTTTTTTGGCAATTTTGTGAAAGTAAGAGACTTCTCACCAGTTGTATTTAAAGTGTTGTGCCGTTACCAGGTGTGTGCCCCTAGGTAGCAAGGGTTAGTAGGTACAAGTAATTGTCAACAGGTGTGTCTCAGGTACCAGGAGTAACTAGGGTTTAAGTAATTGTCAACAAGAGTTACCAGGTGTGTCCCAGGTACCAGGGGTTACTAGGTATAAGTAATTATCAAAAGGAGTTACCAGGTGTGCGCAAAGAACGAAACCACACGACCTGTAGCGCAGTGGTCAGCGTATTTGGTTCACAACCGAAACTAACCAAATACAAATTAAAGGATCAGGCTTTAGCCTAGTAGGACCTCGATAATATTTTGGAAACTTGAGCCGATAATCAAGTTATAGTAAGTGAAACTAACACAAACTCAACTTCCTCTGTTAACGAGCGGGTTGAAAGTGCTTGGTTATGGTTGATAGCATAAGGTCATATCGTAAGTCTTAGTTGTAGAGAACGTGAAGCCATGATTAGTCGTCCAGGACGACCACAGCTTCAATCGCACGTTCATGCTGTCAGGAGGAGGAAAAGCGAATCATCACCCTGACAGCAGAGGGTAAGATCGTCAACAGAGAGAGAGCAGAAAAATTCTTGAGGGAGAGAGAGGAAGACCATTGAGGGCAACCAGGAAAATAGTAGTGCTCAGGACACAACCTTGGGGTACTCCTCCGTATTGCCGAAAAGAGGCAGAGAGAGAGTGGCGTCAAGCCTCACTCTAAAGGAACGATTAGAGAGTAAGCTTCGTAGGAAGAGGGAGACTGCGACAAAGGCCAAAAGAACGGAACTAGGACCGAAAATAGTATCTCCAGATGGTGTCACACGCCTTTTCCAGGTCAAAAAGAACAGCAGCAACAACGGAGGTCTTCGTAACAAAGGCAGTGTGAATATTGACCTCCAAGTTCACCAAGACATCAGTCGTGCTGCAACACTTGCAAAAGCCAGATTGAGAAGGGAAGAGGTGGTGTTAGTGTTCTAAGAACCACATCAGACAAACATTGATCATACATTCAAAAAATTTGTAGATGCAACTCGTTAGGGCAATGGGGTGGAAGTCCTTAGAAGATGTCCCTAGAGAGCCTGGTTTCTGAATAGGAAGAACATCTGCCTCAAGCCAGTCCTCAGGGACTAACAACTACTCCCAGATACGGTTATAAATATTCTGTAAATTCTGAAGTGTGCATAAAGGGTGATGGTGGAGCATCAAGCCCACTAAGGGCTCACCATAGCCCGTTCTACTTGGAACTTTTTGTTCCAGGTAACGAGGTAACGAATCTTAAACAACAACAGGTGAAGCATCTCAATGTCATCCGAGCCTGCTGCTGCCTTAGAACCGCAGAGGGTCAGGGCAGACTGAAGTTCCGAGAGAAGGGATCGTTACAGGTGAGCAGGGGATGGGGGTGAAAATCTAAGGGACAAGATTCAAGAAGTGATTACGAGTAAGGAAAGTGGGAGTAAGATGAGACCCGGAGCTAACAGCCTAAAAATGTGAATCCAGGTCGGTCGCGACCGGTTCCGCCACAACAGAACCACGGAGGTGAAGCACTGGCGAGACATCTGGAACAAACTTGCTGGCTATCTTATGGATTTTCTTCCAGATCTGAGGAAGAGGAGAGTCAGCCATAATGGTGGAGACATAAAATTTCCAACTCTCACACTTAGCCGTACGAATGGTCTATTGGGCCACCGCACTCGCTTTCCGAAACAAAATAATAGAATCAGGCGTCTGTGGGCGCCGAGACACAGAAACAGAGAGAGAGAGAGAGAGAGAGAGAGAGAGAGAGAGAGAGAGAGAGAGAGAGAGAGAGAGAGAGAGAGAGAGAGAGAGAGAGAGAGAGAGAGAGAGAGAGAGAGAGAGAGAGAGAGAGAGACACACACAGATAGAGATAGAGAGATATATAGAGAAAGAAACAAAGAGATACAGACAGAAAGAAAGAGATACAGAGAGAAACAGAAATACAGAGAGAA